GACCTTGTGTTAGATTGATGCATCTCTGGAGAAAACGGATTGTAGACCCGCTTGCGCACACACACACACACACACACACACACACACACACACAGGCTCAGGCTCAGTGCTGTAGGGATCACCACTTTGTCACTGTGCTGGCTTATCCATTATCCTGACTCTCTCCCTCTCTCTGTCTATGTCTCAGTATGTCCCGGCCGGTGAGGGGTTGAACACAGCCGACAGCAGTAGTGGTGGTAATCAGACGGTAGTTGTTCTGAGGACACATGGTGGAAATACATAAACACCCCTCCAGTAACCCCAAATGCTACTGTGGTAGCCGGCATCTGTAAGATCCACATTGCTGTCTGTAGCTATAGCCTGGATTTGGACTCTGCTTAGGAAGAGATAAGGATGTAAAGAATATTTTAATAGGAATAGATCGACATTTTGGGTAAAACCGATGAGAAGATCAATGGCATGTCTCTGCTTAAAAGATACCCTGATACATTTTTCTCTATTACTGGTAGCATTACAGAGCTACGTTTGAAAGACACTGTGGAATGAACAACATATTTCCCAAATTGTAATCCTAAAAATCTGCTATTCAAAGGGAAATTTTGACCTCAAGGACACAGAGTGTTTGCAAGAAAACTCCACAAGTTGCCTTTAAGTGCAGAGCAGGAGCCAGGATGTATTTAGACCTGCTTAGCATGAATAATGGAGGCAGAGGGATATAGAGACCTGGCCTCTTTCCAAAGTGAAAAAAACCCACCAACCAACACCTCTACAGCTCACTAATGTTTCCTTTGTTTTATCCCATACATAAAGAAAGATGCAAAAATGTCCGTAGTTTATTTCAGACGGGCTACAGCAATGCATGTCAATATGCAGCTTCGCAAAGTCTTGAACAGGTTGCCAGGTTTGTACAGTCTACACCGATACTAAATGGCAACCATGTGCTAGCTGGAATTGCTGCAAAAGAAGTGCTGTGTGGATGGATAATATGTTGTTGATGCTGTATCTGAACTCTCCTTACTAAGTGGAACTTGACCAGAACACTATTCCTATGAAGACAGATGAACAAAGTGATATATATGTGCTGTATATGTAGTGTGTGTCACTATAGTCTCAGGTACAATTCATTGACTTAAAGATGTGATTGTAGTGATACAACGAAATTCCTTTGGTTTGGTAGCCCTCAGCCAGCCAGCAGCATCGAACAACAACAACGATAAACAATATAGAAGATAAAGAAAAGGGATAAAGACAAACAAAGTAGAGAAGGCAGGGCTGAAGTGAGCACAGATGGGAGAGACGTTCACTTCGAATGAAACATCGAACAACAAAGTTAAGCTGTAATAAATATTAAAATCACCTTGAAAGCTGACACCCCCACACATGCTGACACACGCGCAAAAAAATATACCATAAATCTGCAGTACCAGCCCACCACACTGTCACGAATGACATTAGCGGTGTAGCATATTTGTCATGAGCACATAGACTGTCATCCTCCATCATACAGACGTTCAAGGGGTGGGCACAACGTGTCACAAACACCTGCACAATGTAATAGTGTCTAATACAAGAAAGAAATCAATAGCTCAATACCATAGTCACACAGGTAATGAACAGTGTAGAGTTCACAAAGGTATTATCGCCTGCATGATACGGATACATGATAGGACTGCATTCAACTGTACAATGTATTATTCTGTTTCAGGGAGGTTGAAAATGGTAAATGTTGAAATGGTTGTTTCAAAATGTATCGTGGTCAGAAGAACAACCTCCGGTACCAACAACCACATTGTGAAAACACTTTTAAGTACAATTAGTTGTCTAGATATTACCATGTGTATGAAACTATAATTAGAACATTCTGTTTTTTTTTTGTTTTGCTATATGAATTGCAAAAAAAGAGGGCAGTGATTTAGAGATCTGGAGGGAGATATCATTTGGTCTCGTGCTATGTGGCAATTGACAGACAATTAATCTGCTTGGTTTTCCCATATTAAAGGCCAGCTAGTGTGGGGTGGAAGAGTACAATATTCAAAATAAGTGCTTTAACTTTTTTATTGCATTTTTTATCGTCCCATTCATATACATGAAATTTGACCTCTGCATGTAGACCATCTTAAGCATTGGGAGCAGTGGGAGGCTGTAAAGCGCCCAGGGAGCCACTTGGGGTTCAGTGTCTCGCTCAAGGACACTTTGACATGAGGACAAGAGTAGCCAGGGATCAAGCTTGTGACTAAAGGACGGCCTGCTCTACACCCTGAGCCACAGCAGCCCCCTCTGGTGAAGAACTGGGTTGTAAAATGGGTGAAACATCACATCAATTTGAATTCTGACTTGCCATATGATAAACAGCACTTTGGTTTTGCACACAAAACTTGTATACACTTTTATGACGGTGGGATGAAGATAACACGATGTGCGGTGAACTAAAGATAAAATATTGCGTCCCTAGCTAAATTAATGTTCAAATCGCATCAATTAAAGCCCACACCATGATGAACATACGGGTGGTTTGGTACATGGGGGAGAGTCTTCCGCACCATGTACCTGTTTATTCCTGCCCTACCTCACAGCTGTGAGTGCGAGTTCATTCAGAGTGACACTCCGTAGTAAAGGGTTGGTGAGTGGGAATCGGTTTGGGAGAGAGTCACAGTCACACTAGGAGCTGTCATTTGCATGGAGTCAGAGTCTTTTTGTGCAACTAGCAGAACGCTGGCTGGCCTGAGAAAGTCACGGTGAGAGAGGAGCTATCTGGAAATAATAAATCTGGTTAATACGGTATTGCACCCCTCTCTCTTTTTTTGGCAATTATTTTTGCCATTTAACACACTGCAGCTGTGCCACACAATCACAGGCATATTAGCGCACACACACACACACACACACACACACACACACACACACACACACAC